AAAATCCTCACAACTGGACCAACAAGCAGCATCACGATAAATGGATATAAGATTGAAGTGGTCAAAGATTTCATATTACTTGGATCCACAATCAACACCAATGGAAGCAGCAGTCAAGAAATCAGATGTCATATGACACTGGGCAAGTCTGCTGCAAAAGATCTCTTCAAAGTGCTGAAGAGCTAAGATGTGTCTTTGAAGACAGGTATTGTCAATCACCTCATATAGCACCTAACAACAACAACATATACCTGTGAAAGCTTGATGATGAACAAGGAAGTCTGAAGAAGAGGTGACGCTTTTGAGTTGCAGTGTTGGCAAAGAATACTGCAAGTACCATGACTGCCAGGAGAATTAACAAATCTGTCCTTGAAAGGGTGCAGCCGGAATGCTCCCTGGAAGTGAGAATGACCAGACTTCGTCTCCCCTAATTCGGTCATGTTGTCAGAAGGATTCCCTGGAAAAGGATATCATACTTGGTAAAGTGGAGGGTCAGCAAAAAAGGGGAAGACCCTCAAAGAGATGGACTGACACAGTGGCTGCAGTAATGGGCTCAGGTATAGCAAGGATTATGAGCATGGGGCACGACAGGTGGTGTTTCCTTCTGTTGTACATAGGGTCACTATGAGTCAGAGCCAACTCGACAACACCTAACAACAAAGTTTTCTAGACTGACATAAATATTTAAAGATGGATCACAGAAATCAAAAGATTCATTAACTGAAGACATTTATAAAGCATTTTCATCTACATTTCTATGTATTTTTTAGTTTAAAAAACCAGCTGCCATCAAGTTGCCGCCAACTCATGGTAACCCATGTGTGTCAGAGTAGAACTGCACTCCAGAGGGTTTTCAATGGTTGATATTTTGGAACCAGATCACCAGACCTTTCTGAGGAGCCTCTGGGTAGACTCAAACTTCCAACCTTATGGTTAGCAGCTGGGTACATTAAATCAAATGTTCCCTTTAGAAAGTCAAACTACACACTAAGTAATAACTATCTATATTGCTATATTTGCAAGACAAAACCTTTTTTTTTTTTCCACTTTTCAAAAAACGACTCAGTGGCAGTGAGTTTGGTTTGGTTTTTGTTTCAAAAGACTGACAAAAAAAGATAACCTATCATATCACGTCATATTAATATGATGACCATTACCTCAAATTCTTTATTAAATAATAAAATCTAAAAGGAAATGTATGAAGATGACAATAATGGCTTTTTTGGTTGTTGTTTTGTTTTCAAAACATTCAGCACTGTGATGTAACATTCACAATTATTAAAATGATTTCCAAAGAAAGTTTTACAAAGCTTGAACATGCTATTGAAAGAAGAAATACTTAGAAATTGGTGCTAAAAAATAACACATGCTCGGTTGCAGACATGTTTTAGGTGTTTTTCCTCAGACTTTATTCAAACTTTTGCTTTTAGTGATTTAGGTGACTGTGATAACATCTTTCACTGTATCTAAAAACAAGGCATGAGTGTGTAAATTTATGAGTTGAAATTCGAAACTGGCACTGGATGTCTAAATTAGAGTATTAAATCATTAGTATAATCCAAGCCCTAGTGGTACAGTGGTTAAGCACTAGGCTGCTAACTGAAGGGTTGGTGGTTCTAATCCACACAGCAGATCCTCTGGAAAAAAGACCTCGTGATCTGCTCCCATAAAGATTACAGCCTAGGAAACCCTATAGAGTAGTTCTACTCTGCCTTATAGTGTCACAATGTGTCAGAATCAACTCCATGGCATACAACAACAACCATAAAAACGTATTTTAAGCAATGACACCTCCATGCTTTGTATGTTGTTGTTGTTGTTGTTGTTATGTGCCGTTGAGTCGGACCCGACTCATAGCGACCCCTCTTTGGGTTTCCGAGGCACTATCACTATGGAAGTAGATTGCCCCATCTTCCTTCCGAGGAGTGGCTGGGGGGTTTGAACTGCCAGCCTTCTGATTAGCAGTCAAGTGCCTTAGGCACTATGCTATCAGAGCTCCCATGCTTTGTATATACAAATAATTTTAATTTAAACACCTTCAACCTTTACATAGTGAAGAAATGAAAAATCCTAAACGTTTTACCTTTCTCAAATATAACAAATCACATAAGAGATTAACCTTGGTAAAGCACTCTTCCCCTCCAGTCCTCAAGTTCCTTCTTTGACAAATAAAGAGAAACTAGAAAATCAGTGGTTCTCAACTTTCTTTCTATTCCAGCACATCTGAGGGATTCCATATCTCTCCATTTACGGCCATGGCGACAGTCTGAAAATGTCCTACAGGTGATTCTGATACACTACCCCAGAAGTTGTGCCCTGTCCCTGCCCTCTTGAGAATCACTCCATTGGAGGGATCTCTGTGGTTCTGCATAGCACTGAAGTCTGCCACTTTGTTACTTTTAATTAAAAGTACAATCCAACAACATGAAAGTTATACAACAGTGTTGCTTTAGTAGGCTTAACAAGGTCCAAAGTTAGTAAACATCTTCATTCACTGGAATATGCAAGATTCAAATAATAATTTGTATAGTGATGGCATCAGAGTTGTGTCATGGCAAACAGCATACCTTACCCTGAATCAGCTTCTAATGAAGGAGGTGGGCAGAGAGGAAGGGTAGAGAACCAATTAAAATAATTCCCCCTAGGTGTGAGGGAATGGTGTGAACGTGTAATAAGGATATTGGTGTAAGTTTACTTGCCTAATAATAGAAAAGACAAGTTGAAGACTGATATATGGAGATGTGATATTATGTGATCCCAAGTGCCTCCTTCAAAATTAACAATTTGATACAAGTCTGACTTTTATATAAATATACGTTCTATACAAATGATATTTTTGTATAGGACAAAATTGCTATAAACTAATAGTAACTAAAACTAAAAACTAAACTCACTGCGGTCTGGAGTTGGTTCTGACTCACAGCAACCCCTCCTTGGGTTTCCGAGGCAGTATTTCTATGAAAGTAGATTGCCTAGTCTTCCTTCAGAGGAGTAGCTGTGGGTTTGAACCACCAGCCTTCTGGTTAGCAGTATCTTAGGCACTATACCACCAGAGTTACTAAAATTACGTACGGACATATGCCATATTATAAATATAAGCCAAATCACTGGTTCAGTATGGTAACTGACAAGAGTTGCCCAGTGTGATATTTTCCAAATAATGTGATATTTTACATATTTCTTTGAGTATCTACTTATTGTGATCCCAAAGTAGCTAAAAGCTATGATACATGCAATGTCATATGAAAAATTCTCACAACTAGGAAAGAAGAATATTGAGTTTCAAAACTTCCTTGGAAAATGTGTTTGATCCAAATGTAAACTAGTAAATGATCCAAATGTAAACATCATCAGGAATATAAATGCAAGGTATGGCAAATGTGCTGACTGGAGTTTCAAAACTGGGGATATCTATACGAAAAAAAAAGATGTCATTACATCTTCAAACCAGAAAACATATAACTCAATATATGCTGATTGGTTTATGTTTTGTAATGAAATGACCCTTACATGTACAATCAATAATTGACCCACACTCGAGTTTAGTATCTGAACAACCACCACAAAATGGCTGGGTCTAAAAGGTGCTGTCCTCTGTACTTAAGGATGTCATCAGCGGTGATTCAGAATACAATGTACACATGTCTGTCTATTCACTCCTCTACCATATAACTAATAACCAGCTGCCATTGAGTCAACTCTGATTCAAGGCAACCTCGTGTGTATTGCAATAGGACTGTGCTCTATAGAGTTTTCAATGGCTGATCTTTCAGAAATAATCTCCAGCCATTTCTTTGGACTTGAACCTCCAACTTTTCATTAGCAGTTGTGCATCTTAACCATTGGCACCAACCAGGGACTCCCACATATACTACCGCTGTATTGATTTATGGTTGAAAAGCTGATAAAAATTCCTTTACAAAACGTGTTGTCTGTTGTTGGCTTAACTTGCCGAATGCACTTCCCATTTAAAAATAAATTTTCAGTGTTCCTAATATGGACTTCTCTGTAACACCTAACACTTGGGTTTGTGAATAGACCAATAACCCAACAAAAAAAGTGAAAAGAAAATGCCCAAACCCCAATTTAGTAAGATGTTCACATCTGAAACAGTAGCAATAAATAACATGCAAGTGCAGACAATCCCTTGCACAAAACTGTGATGGATAAATATTTGTTAAATGAATGTATTCGTTTCTTCCTCATTCTACACCCATGTATCAAAGCATCAAACAATTTAATTTGTGGTCGTTTCTGCTGTGTCTAGAACTTCACATGTAAGTTTACCATGGGGAAAAAAACCTGTTTGGCTTGAGTCACCATGAATCACAGCCAGGAGGTCATCTTGTGTACCAGCAACTATGTTTTCACTACAGCTATGTGACCTCAAGTGGCAACAGCACAGGCACCAAAATAGAAGGGGCAGGAGGAAGAGACTGACTTCTCGGCCCCCAAATGGGCTTTTCCAAGCAATTCGGGCAAGTGAGCTACAGGCAACCGCAGAAGAAAGAACAAATCCAACAGCTCAGAGAAAGGCTGTAGGCCCACCACACCTTTCTAGCCCTCTTCAGGAACCAGGAGAAGCAAGAACATAAAAGACGACGGGCTTAAGAAACAGCATGGAGAAAACACAGCATGACAGGAGCCAAAACTAGCCCGGTATAGGGCAAAATCCTGCCGTGACCGTGAAGCACGGATCTGGGGAAGGTCTGGAGATCGGGGAGGATCTCCAGCCGGGAGCTCCGGGCGCAGCTGCCGCGCCAGCGCGCAGCCGGCCCTCAGTCTCCAGTCATCTCCAGCCACCAGAGACCTGCCCCTGCTCGCACCTCACCTGTCCCGTGTCCGCGGACCCTGCCGGCGCCGCGGACCCTTGGCCCCCACCTCCGCCCACTCTCCCATCCCGTCCCCTCCCAGCGCGTCTCTCGGGACCCTTGGCCATGTCGGCGTGGGCAAGGGGCCGATGCCCGTCCCGCCACCCCAGGCCCGGCCCAGGCACTCACTTTCTGAATCCGCTTCAGCGCCATGGGTCAGGGAGGGCGGCAGGGACAGCGGCCAGCGGGCGGCGGCTGCGGGCTCGGGGTGTAGGGTCGTTGCGGGCTCGGCTCGCTCTCTGCTCGGCTGGCTTAGCCCGGTAGTCCCCGACTCGCTGCTCGCTGGCTTGCTCCCGGCGCCTGTGCCAGTACAGTGTGCGCCCGAGCGCGAGTGTACCAGTGTGCGGGCGGGGACGCCGGGGAGACTCTTTTGTTTCCGCTTTAGCTTCTGGGAAGAAGCCTGCGCCCTCCCTGCGCGCGCCCCGCCCCGCCTGGCACACTGGGAAGTGTAGTTCTGCGCCCCATCTCTGCGGCTCGAGCAGAGGAGGCGGCGCCGCCTGCCTCTTGGTCCTGGCGGGTGACAAACTGTTGACCGCACCAGAGAAGGTTGGGGTTGCAACAACCAGGGGTGCGGTTGGTCCCTATAGTTTGACTTTGACCAAGTCACTTAAGCTGAGGTTCCCCATCTGTAAAATGGGGACAACAAATGAGCTAGTAAAGCATTTACAGAAATTTTAAAAGCATGAAGCTAATCATCCTGTATCCAACGTGTGCTATCGCTGATGTTATCTTTCCCTTCACAGATTTCACTCTCTTCTCAAATATATGCATTACCTCAATTTCTCGTTCTCCATACATGCGCGACTCACTCCTATTACGCGATTCTTTACTATTCTTTTCTATTGCTCTTTGCTATTTCAGGGAAAAAGCGAGCCTCTTCTGCTCAATGATAATCCCATATGTCTACTCTTTCCAAGCTCCTTCTTGTAAATTACCCCTCCAACTCTGAATCCTTCCCTTCATCCTCACCATTGGCTTCTTCCTCTTGTTTTACAGTATCTGTTCCGTAGTCCATGCATACTTGCCACTCCTTCAACACCAAGAACTGTGTACCCATTAAAGCTTGGCTTCTGCTTTCAGCGCTAGTAGAATCGGTTTTCACCAGGATGACCCTTGCCTTTCTAACTACCAAATTCCATCGCAATCTGGCCACAAACTCCTCCTTTCCATCTTTAGCTCCATGCTCTCCAATTAATTAATTCCATGTGCCTTTGCACATTGCATTTCTCTCTGCATAGATTGACGTTCCACCATTCACTTGACAAACTCTCACACACTTTTCCCGTTCTCCAACGTTACATACTCTGTAAGTTTTCCTCTACTTAGAGGTGGATTTATTAGTATTTATATTAGTGTTTTAATTTCAGAAGCAATATGTTCATACTTTGTTGTTGTTGTTGTTATGTGCCGCCCAGTCAGCCCCGACTCATAGCGACCCCTCCTTGGGTTTCCGAGACAGTATCACTACGGAAGTAGGATTGCCCAACCTTCCTTCCGAGGAGTGGCTGGTGGGTTTGAACCGCCAGCCGTCTGGTTAGCAGGCAAGTGTCTTAGCCACTATGCTACCAGAGCTCCCTGTTCATACTTTAGGGACATCTCTTTTGTTTATTTGTTCATGACTAGTTCTCTCCTTACCGAGCTCTGGTAGCATAGTGCCTAAGGCACTTGACTGCTAACCAGAAGGATGGCGGTTCAAACCCACCAGCCACTCCTTGAAGAAAGATGGGGCAATCTACTTCTGTGGTGATACAGCCTCAGAAACCTAAAGAGGGGTCGCTATGAGTCAGGCCCGACTCGACGGCACACAACAACAACAACGACAGTTCTCTCGTTAGACCATTAATTCTGAAGAAACAGAGAAAGTGCCTTACATTTACAAAGTGAAATGTACAAATCTAAGTATAACCTTTGATGAATTTTAACAAATTAATATACCTGTGTAACAACCATCATAATCAAGCCATAGAACACTTCCATCACCACGAAAATTGCCTTGGGACTTCTTCCAGAGACACTCTATCTCAATAGAAAATCATTCTTCTGATTTCTATCACCATAAATTACTTTTATTTGTTCTCAGACATCACATAAATGGAAAAATATAATAATACTCCATTTCATTTCTTTCACTTTCAGTCTTTTTAATTACTGAGTAATATTCTATGGTATGAATATACAACAATTTTTTTCTTACCATTCTCAAATTAATGACCATTTGGGTTGTCCCAAGTTTGTGTTTATTGTAAATACAGCAGTTATAAATATTCTTGTATATGTCTTCTTGTTGACATACACTGATATTTCTTGGATGATGTGTTAATTTCTGCCTACCACAGCCTCTGTACTCCCACCCCCATGTAAATACCCCCATGCCACATCCCCCTAGATGAGCTCAGACATTACACTCTTGGCCACTGTGTCTCTCCCAGCTCTGGTATAAACACCTGCCTTGCTTTGGCCCCCTGTTGACTTTGGGTCTGAATTATTCAAGAAGGGGGAAGAGGAAGAAGATGAAAAAACCCTCTACTATATTTTTAGCTATTCTCTCTTACATATTTTTAGTATTTTCTCTGTTGTTGTTAGGTGCCATCCAGTTGATTCCAACACATAGCAACCCCATGTGACAGAGAGGAACGGCCTCATAGGATTTTCTACGCTGTAATCTTTACCGGAGCCCTCATCAGTTCTTTCTCCTGAGTAGCCATTGCATGGGTTCAAACTGCCAGTCATTCTTTTGGTTAGCAGCCAAGTGCTTAACCATTGTACTACCAAAGCTCTAGGGATTAAAATATGCATCCTACTGCTAACCAGAAGGCTGGCAGTTCAAGCCCACCAGCCACTCCTGTGAAGGAAGATTGGGCAATCTACTTTGGTACTGAGTCCCAAGGAGGGGTCACTATGAGTCAGATCCAACTCAATGGCAGTGAGTTTGGATTTTTGGTTTTTGGAAACTTCTCAGAGTCTATCCAGAGTTAATATTGCACCACTACACATAAAATATAAGGAGCTCTGGTAGTGTAGTGGTTAAGGCATTGTGGTGCAGTGAATTACTTTGTATGGCTTTTCTAACCACTCTTTGTGACCCCCACCAGATTATTGGGTGGATCCATGCAAATAAACTATACAGAACTCTAATGTGGGAATTGGTTATTTTTGTCGTTCTGGTAGCATAGTGCCTAAGGCACTTGACTGCTAATCAGGCCTCCTCGGAAGGAAGGTTGGGCAATCTACTTCCATAGTGTTACTGCCTCGGAAACCCAAGGAGGGGTTGCTATGAGTCGGGTCCAACTCAATGGCACATAACAACAACAACAAGCTAGGCTTAAAGTGAGCCTTCCTAGCATCGTGCCTAAGGAACTTGACCGCTAACCAGAAGGCTGGAACTGCAAACCCAACAGCCACTCCTCAGAAGGAAGGTTGGGCAATCTACTTCCGTAGTGATATCACCTCGGAAACCCAAGGAGGGGTCGCTATGAGTCAGGTCGGACTCGATGGCACATAACAACAACAACAGAGGCAGAAAGGGGGATCTCACTGCCATCAGGAGAAAAGAACTGGAGGTGGAGTGGAGCATGTCTTTGGACCCAAGATCCCCAAAGGAACTAAGAGGCATGAGGCATGAAATAGAGCTTCGGAATTGTTGGCTCATGGAGTGAGAAAGCTGAGTGCCTTTGGGCAACAGGCTTATTGGTGGAGTGGGGTGCACCTAGGTGTACCTATTAGAAGAGCTAAAAGAGCTTTGTAACAATTGCCGGAGCAGGGTAGAGGCCAGGCTGAGAGGCCAAAGGCCAGAGAGGCGTGCCTGAGGACATAGCAGAGGAGAGACTGTCCTGATCAAAGAATTGTATCCTGATAGCATTCCTGAACCTGAATTGTAGCCTGTTACTTCCCTAATAAATCCCATAATTGTGACTATTATCTGTGAGTTCTGTGTGGCCATTGCAATGAATTATAGAACCCAGCAGAGAAGTCGTGAGTGCCGTGAGAGAGATGGTTGGTGTTAGAGTTGGTAAAATGTCTGGAGGGTGGTGGCATGTCTGGGCTCATAGGAATAAGCCTTGGGCTACTGATGGTGATTCTGTCTCCCTCTTGTGAAGTTAGAAGAGGTCAGAAGATGTCACCCCCATGTCTTTTTTGCAGGCATTTGGCTGCTAACCAACAAGTCAGTGGTTCAAACCCACCAACTGCTCCATGGAAGAAAGATGAAGCACTCTGCTTCCATAAAGATTTAAGCCTTGAACACCCAATGGGGATCACTGTGAGTCAGAATCTAATTGATGGTAGTGACTTTGGTTTGGTTTGCCACTTAACATACAAGAGTTGACAATGGTGTAACTCCCTATTCTTTGTGCTATTGTTATAATATATTTTACATCTACAGACATTATAAACCCCACAATATATGTTAAAATTTTGGATTAGACAGAAAAAATGATAGCCTTTTATATTTGCCCATGTATTTACCATTTTGATGCTTTTTATTTCTTCCTGTAGATCTAAGTTTTCATCTGGTGTCATGTTTTCTTTCATCCCGAAGAACTGAAATCAGTGTGTTGGCTGTGCTGCAGTCCCATCTGGAGCCTGCAGTCCTCTTCGAAGCTCACCCAGATTGTAGGCAGAATTCACTTCCTGGCAGGTGTAGGACTGAGGTTTCTGTTTTCTGGCTGGCTGTCAGCCAGCTGTACCTCTCATCAACTAGAAGCCACCCTCAGATCCCAGCCACATGGCTCTCTCACATTGCAACAGCTTACTTCTTCAAAACCAATAGGAGAATTTCTGTAGTCTGCTAAAATGGCATGTTAGATAACACAAAGTCATCAAAACAAAACAAAATAGCTGCCCTGACATCAAAATGGCGACTCCATGTGTACAGAGTAGAATTGTTCCATAAGGTTTTCAAGACTGTAAACTTTCAGAAGGAGCTCTGGTAGCCTAGTGCCTAAGGCATTTGACTGCTAACCAGAAGGTTGGTGGTTCAAGCCCACCAGCCACTCCTTGGAAAGAAGATTGGGCAATCTACTTCCGTAGAGATAGTCTTGGAAACCCAAGGAGGGGTCGCTATGAGTCTGGTCTGACTCAACGGCACATAACAACAACAATAGCAATCTAGATTGGGAACCTGAATCTTTAAAATGAAATAAAACAAACCAGTGTGATTCCTTCTTTCACTCCCTCCCATCTCATCCCTATGCAGAATGGTGACTCATGTGCAGCAACCTAGCACAGAACATGTCAGTGTTCTCATGAGGTGGTCTCCTGTTAAGAGTACATGTCTCACCATAGGCCAGTGTATTGGATGAATTGTCTCCTCCAAAATATTGTTGTCAATCCTAACCCTGTGGTT